CATGTGTGATTATTTTAGGACGCGCGTGCGCGTGTCGATCATACAATACGCTATATACAGATAAGATTCGACGGATATTATAAGATATTATATTGTCCTATTGATAATCCGACGTCTATCATCATTGCTGTATGATCAAAAAATCGATTTCAGATTTCATAACAATAAAATATATTATTGTTTATTGGAGGAGGTATAATCATTGTTGCGTCTTATATTGGTTTACGTTGCTCAGACCACGGGTACAAAAATTGACGAATGCCACACTGAAATTCGAGTTGAAATTATACACGGCCGATCGCGCATCATCATCATCACTAACAGTAAATATTTTCACGATGATTAATTTTATTAATTTGCTGATTGCTATAGCATAGGTAAGTTAACATTAAAAAAAAGCAAATTGGAAACCTGAGTTTATGACAAAATTATACACGTAGGTATTTGATATTCTGTTAATATGGTGCATATTATTATCCGACTTTTTGCGATATTTAAAATGGTTTTACAAGGTTAAGTATGGTATTGCATTGATGCATTAAATTATGTTTAGGAAAAAAAAATAAAGCATATAGAGTTCAAAAACAATTTCTAAGATAGAATAATCGCAAGTTCAAAGATTAATATTATAAATGCAAATTAACGCGCAAACTAATAAAGTTGTGCTAAATTATGTTATTTTTTTCAAACTAAAYATACAATGAATGTTATTACAGCTTTAGATGWCCTTATTAAGATTATAAAATATTCAAAACCTCAGGTCGAAATATATACATGTAACACAAAATATTTTAACTCAGAAACAGTATAGTATATTAATTGATAATTTATTTTTCATTAATTAGGGGCAACTATAGTCATCATATTATCATTATACGGTTTTCAATACGATTGTTTAGAAAATAAATGAATGTTTAAATGTTATTTAGTCCTAAAAAAATCAATAATATGACCTCAGGAAATTCTACTAATTCAAATCAATTATTAGATGACTAAAAAACAATTATTAATTTATCTATATATATATATATTAATGATGGTTGGTATTTACACTCTGAGTAATTATTGTTTGGATAGAGCATTATTTTATAGATGACGTTTGTTTTAAAATAACTAATGATTTATACTGTAATAAGCGCCATCATTAAAAACATAAATTATATATATYTTAGGATAACGTAAGCGTATAAAAACTAATATAATTCAGCAAAAACAATATTTTGGATTCAAGAGTATAGATACTTATTCGTACACATCCATTATAATATGTATTATTTTGTTTTCTTAGCTAGTAAACCTAGTTCGTACTACTACTATTATGTTATTTCCTAAACAAATTATTTATTTAAACTTTAAGCAAAACGGTACAACAGAAAAAATAAGACACACACAGTGTGTGTTTTTAGACATTCGAAAGTTCAACAATGGCGTATAGAAGAGTTTGATGTACAAAAGGGTTGGATTCGTATTCCCARAGAAACCCGTAGATGTTGTTTTGTTTAAATTTTTTGGAAAAAAAAAATGAACGGAATAAAATATTTATTATTCGTTACGAAATCGTACATCCAGTATAAATGATGTATACGAGGAACGTTCGCGGTAGATTTCGAAAAATACGGAAAGGATGATAGGTAAATACTGAAAATACGTTACTAAAGCACCAGTAAAAATGATAACATTTTCTGACGTATAAAAATAGTTGGAATAAAATATTTCGATTCACCTAACCTAAACGTTAGAATTWAAATAATTATTAACTACCTATTTACTCGTATTTTCTAATACATTGAGTAAAATATCGTTCGTACATATTCCGATTGTTCCAACTACCTATACGATTATAAATATTTACTTCGTAAACAATAAAACATACAAAATGAAATATGTATAGTCTAAACTCTAAACTACTTCTTTCTCAAAATACCCAGTAAATGGATTACGGGTGTTTCGTTGACACACGCCACAGATTAAGTTCGGACACAATAAATTGTTTTCTAAAAAATGCGCTTTCATTGAAACTGTCATTGAATATATAGTTTAAGTAATATTATTATGGGACGATTCGCATGACTTTACTAAGCATAATTTTGTATGATAAGGTGTCATTCCGTGTGCACGYAAGAGAAAAAAAAATATTGCAATCTCATTTTATTGGCCAACGCGCKTCAAAGGATAAGCAATAGAGCAATATATAATAGGCTATAACTGATTGGCGAGGTATTTATTATTTTTAATGGCAGCATACATTGCCAGTTATAGCATATTTRCCTACTTCATAATTAATGTTTGATTGCCTTGTATAAACATTTACAACTTTTTACGAGGAGAAAAAATGCGTTGTAATCAATAATCGTTGAAAACAAAAAATCTATATTGGATATAATTAAAACCCGATATTATATTTATGAGAYGAGTTTAGCAAAGTCGTACCTATAAGTCAAGATTATTATGCATATTATAATACATCGTACCAGTAAACATAATTGAAACATTTCTTTGTAGGTACGAAGGTGTGAGACTTCAGCAGAACATTTCTATATAATATTTTGTCAAAAAAATGAAATAGATTTGATATAGAAAATAAAATATTATAACGGATTCRGTTCACGATTCATATAAATCATTATTATTTTTCTTTTCTTATTTCCGCGTGATTTATTCTCATTTAGCTGTGATGATATATAAGCCTTGGAATCGAACGTGAACACATTTTTAACGGAAATGTAAATCATATTGTTATAGATTTTTAGAATGGCTTTAGCCGGTATATTAGTATGTGAAGCATGAATYGCATGATAAATTGTTCAATCAACTCGATCAACGTAATACCACAATAATTGACAATCTTTTCAACACACGAAATCAATATAATATTATAATAGTCGTACGATAATATTACTAAATAAATGATTAAATCTTAAGCCCAGATAAAAAAAAAAAAAACAATATAATCATAACTGCAGTTACGGCGAAAAATCGAAAGATCAACTCTCAATAATATYAATACTGCAGTTGACCGTTGTAAAGAACAATACACACCGCATTAAAAAAAATATTATGGATATTCGCGTAACGAAAAATGTTCAAACGAATACGCGCGCGGCAGACGGTAAGTTCGAAAACATTGTTAATCTCCGAATACAACAATAATAACAATATCGATATACACATGGTCAGATTATTATTATTATTATTATAACAGTATATTATTATTATTATAGGCATAGGCACGCCGGATAATCTCAATGGATACTGACCTTCTCTCGACGCTCATCTTGATCACGGAACCGTTAGGCAGAATCACGTTCAGATCCATTGCCCCAGACAACATGTCGGGAGGCGTGTCTTCCGTCACCRGCATCTGCAAGGACATCGTTTGTCTGAAAAATCGAAAAAATACCGAACACATTAGCTAGCTGCTGCGACTGTATATAATAACTATTTGAGAATTATTAGGTTTTACACTTCACTCGTCACACTGCACACGCCTTGGGCTAGAAATCTCTATACGAGAGCAACACAAATGAATCATACGCACTCATTTGGGATAATTCTGGCTAGCTGAGCGTATATGGCTCAAAATAATAACATTTTTTTTCTCATATGATTGATGCTTTCAAAATAAAAATACACACATAACATATACTATGTATATAGGAGTAGGTAGATATATAACTACACGATCAGTACTCCTATACTATTATTGTTTCGATGACGGAAAATTAATAATACGTATAATTCGATTTCACACACATCATTCAGGTACCGATAAATTGGATATTTTCTAGGTAGGTATCTTTTCAAAAATTAAAACCAAACCGTCAGATAAATAATTAAAAAAGAAATTACGATTCCRAACGTTTCACTATTTCGGTGMGCGTCATTACACACAGCACCTATATCTAATAGTAATCATCGACCTTTGGAATAAATTAATTGAATCTTAATTTTTTCCACATTAAAAAAAAACATCCGTGTTTTAATGTTTTTATGAATAACTTGTAAATCATAATAATGCATTATAATTGTATTATACCGATCGATGGACGCGATGATGATCGTCTCGATAAATGCAATATAATTGATGTGGTTAACCGTGATAAAATTATATATATAGGTACCTATATTAACCTACCCAAACATAATGATAACACGATTTCGTCTTGATTTTCAAGGTAAAAATAATTGAAAATTATTTAACTCACAAGTAGAGTAGATATTAGGCAAGTTATTATTTTTAACCACCATATTATTATGATTATGCCTATAATAGTTATTATTCACATCGTGTTTGGTTTATTTGAGTACAAGTACACGTGATTTATTAAATACCATAGATACGCGTATATGTAGGTTCTCGTAGGAACCACTAATCACTGCTGCAATGCTCACCATTGCACGAGGATTTATAAGTTTTTTATTGACAATTTTTTTCGTCGCCGCCGTCGCCGACAGCAATACTTCAGGGTTTCGCCGTTGTTATGTACGTACACATTTTGTTTTGCGGCTCAAAGAATTTCATTACGGCCAAAACCAAAGAATGCACTCGAGGTATAATAATTATGGCGTCGGTACACATATTATTATTATTATTATTATTATGTTATTGTGTACCTATAGTGTATAGCGTGTAGTTGTTTTTGGCATTGTCGTCAATAATGTTTTTTTTTTCAGTCACATTAGCAACGCAAAAGAAATTGTGGGCGCAATCATGTATGACCAGAATGCGCGTGGTGGGCGAGTACACTGCGTATACAGTTCCTATTTTTTTTTTCAAAAACCGTTTTTAATGGTATTGTTTTTTTTTTTGTCCATTTTGATACGACGCATGCACAAACTGTCCGAAGMCCGTTAGCCGAAAAATGACGTGGAGTTATTATTTATTTACCGTTTTTCTTGTAAATCCTTACGAAGAACGTGAAATGTTCGGAATTTATTAAATATACCTATCTAGTCAGCTATACATGATGGTGGACCAATATTGCAAAGCCACTTAAAAAAAAATAAATAAAAAAAAACAAATTTCCAACTTCTTATAAAACCCATATCGCATAAATCGATAAAAATGTACGTTGTAAGTTGATAATATTCTTCGTCAAYGACTTAAACATCGAAAATATTGGATCGTCAAATTTGGACGTCGAATCAAAGATTAAAGTTTAAAGCATATMATATAGAGGTATACGCGTACCTTTTTTATGATTACAACACTTCAAAAGATCGCGCATCGCTAGCCACTCTTTTATCTATTTTGCATATTCGAACAACAACAACAATGTATACATTGAACGCATAATAAAGTAATATTGATTTTATATTCGGACTGATGTCTACATCGATTGAAAGAGAATTCATTATGTAAAACGTTAATGACGGCGACAAAGTCTCAACGGTTGCAGCTCAGAGAATTTCTTCTGTTCGACGTTGAGGTAGCAAAAACAAAAAAAAAACGTCACTCGTCTTGTTTCAAGCTGATCTGCGCATTACACGTATTTTTATCATACAAAGTGTGTCGCAATAGCCAGTTTAAAATGATTTCACAATCAACCATTTAGTAATAATATACGCCAATGACGATGGCATCGAAATCATATTATTCATATTTTTGTGAGCACGGAGCACGGGCAGTACTAGCGTTATTGGTATATTATTATTCACTCGCACGGAACTAAAATATTTTGTCTTAGGCCGCAGTTAAATGGATCACACCGTATAATAATATCATGTACACCGCACGTTCAAATATACTATTATAGGTTTATAAAAGCGTGGACGCAGTCGGTTTTTCGTCTTTTTGACCATCGCAAAACCGAATATGATATAATTATTATTATGCACGCGTGTGTATCATATAGACATGGGTGGTCGCCCATTTGTAACTTTTCAGGGGAGGGGAGGCAAAATAAGAAAATTCTCAAATTTTTAGTTAAATAAAGATGTTAAATGTAATTTCAACATATAAATATAAATATGCTATTATACCTATTTATAAAATTAATATTTTTATGGTGTATAGTAATTAAGATACATTTTAATAAGTACAGGTATCTAACCTAACCTAACCTAATATTCAAAAAATATAAAAACGGATCTATACTCGTACTTTCAGAAAGAAATGAAATCGAAATCAAAATAGGGGCAAGAATTCAGCCAGGGAATAAATGCCTCTATGGTCTTGCGAAATTACGATATGGGATCGAGTTCACTTTCGAAGGATTTAAAAAATACAATTATACATTAAATCTATACGACCTGTAGTTACTTATGAAGCTGATACATGGGCGATAAGGAAAAGTGATGAAAGAAAAACTCTTAATTCTGGAAAGAAAAATACTGCGAAAGATTTTTTGGACTAGCAAAGGATATTCTAATAGTGGTGACTGGAGAATAAGAACAATAACGATGAATTAGAAACGCTCTTCCATAAACACAGTGTACTCGAAACAATGAATAACAAAACATTTATATACGGGCTGGGCATGCTTGGCGTAGCCAAACCCACTCAAACGCGTAGTATTAGAAGAAAACCCTATTGGGAATAAAGACCGCGTCTGAGATGGGAGGTCGTAGTGAAGAATGATGTGAAATCGTTAGGAGGAGGTGTAGACTGGAGGATACAGACATCGGATAGAGAAAATTGGAGACAAGGATGTATGTCGGGATGGTAATTGTGGCYGAGTTTACCGAAGAAGAAAAAAAAATATATAATCAAACGTATAAAATTCGGTATATCGGCAAATAAAAACTGCAAATTTCTTATTGGTTCATTCCAAAAATATTAATCACATCTTGGATGTAACTTATGTTCGAGTTCACTTTTTCACGATGAACGCTCGAAAACCTATTTGMATATCCTATGAAATTTAAAAATTTAATTTAATTTTGTCAACATCATGCTAATATTTGTTAAAATATAAGTTTATATACATTTTCCAGAGAGGGGCAAGTGCCCCGTCTTGCCACTTCCCCACCATTGGCCAATGAGTATATATAAATGTACAATACATGTTATCCTGCGAATCGAAATCGCTCACACACACCATATATATATATACGCCCTATTACTATCGTGCACCTATATAATATATACATACGAATTGAATACGATCAGATAATACTGTCGCCGCCGTGACTTATATACATATAGGCAGGTATTGTATACAGCGTGCAGTGCATAACATATTAAAATACACCGCGGTTCCGGTTACGATCTCATCCGGATATTTAGCCGCCTCACGATGCGTGCAAGATGGAAAAATATTACGAGTTCACGAAACGCTACTTCTTGACCTTCAGATGAACGGTATACGTCGTCGCCGCCAACACACTATACATAATTTTTGCCARCGAGTTCACCAAACTTGCGCGCCGGGTCATTGTATTCGCTAATTTCGATTTATTATGTCCCTATTAATGTTTTGTCTTCTATATACGGTAAGTTCCCGGCGGTTGCACCCGTGTACGCATCATCATATATTATACGCATATATACGTATATATTAATTTATAGTTTGCCTTTTTCCTCCACAACAATTTTTTCATATATCAATAATTATTTACGTTTATACATAATATACGTAATTCATATAAATGCATATAATTGACAATAATCGTAGTGAATAAAATACTATACATTATTATATTGTACCCATACACCGTAAAATATCGTATTTTTTTTTTTTTTGCAAAAAACATTATAATACAACACTTAAATTGTTTTTACGTTGCAGTTATATCATATCATTATCATCGTAATTCGTCCATGTTGACTGTATTATACGATTATGACGTATCCAGGTAGGTATTTCCATCAGCCGGGATTATATGCATATAATATAATATACATCATACAGACTGCAGCCCGAGTGTATATAATTTATTGGATTTTTCGTCAAGTTTTTGCACTTCAATTTTAAGACAGTAAGTTATAAATTTATCGTATTGATCATGCGGCTTTTACTGGTTTGACACATCATACGCCTGCACGCGTATTTTGTGTTTCTATTGACAAGGCAAAACGTACGCATAGAAAATCACGATAACTACATTTTTGAAATGTTGTCAATCTGCAGTCACAGTTCGTTATTTCTTTGAAAATAAAGCACAAAGCGCTTTTATTTAAATTTAGATGCGACGTACGAGAGATTTATTTGTCTACTGTAGACCGTCTTGTGATATAATAATTATAATCAACAGATTATACATGGCGGGACAGCAAAATGGGCGATTGCCCTACACTGCAGTTACATACGGAAATCGCTCTTTTTTGCCGCCCCACCCTGTATTTAGTTTTGAAGAAAGGCCATTTTTTATTGGACATTTTAGTTATGTAAGACTCTTGATTTCGTCACATAACAAAATAATAAGAGAGCCAATATTA